TCTCCCCCCCCCCCCCCCTTTCGTTATGCATCGACACGCTCAAGCTAAACTGCTGTCGGCTAACGCGTTTAAAATATCTTCTCTTCTCATAAATACACTTGGTAGCGTAACAATAAGTACAACCAAGGTGACATTCCAATATGAAATATGTGCAAACTAACTAACATGTAGGCGGGGGGGGGAAACAGCTTTTTCTAGTGGTAACTTTTGCAAGACTGGGATCTATCCAACTACAATTCACTCATTTAACAGTTTTGGCCCTGTTCAGCAAGTCACTCATTTTTCTTGTTCACTGTTAGTCACTCATTTTGCATATCCCCACTGTTAGTCGCTGATTTCGATGATGATGATAGATTTTGAATCTTTGTTAGAGTTTGAAGAGTCATTAGGTCAAGGACTCGACCATAGTCATGCCATACTATCACGGGCTTTAGAAAATAAAGTAGATCACTTGAGATTGAACGATGAAGACGAACAAGACTCGATATCTTCGATTAATTTGTCGTCACCAATTAATTTAGACGAAATCGTTCAAGAGTACAATATTTTAGAGGACGAGTTTGCCGCATGTACCAGTTGTGGACATTCATTCAATGACAAAGACACCACCTCTACAACTAGTCGTATGACCTGTTGTCAATTCCAGATTGAGTTCAACTCCACCGTTGGTCCTTCTTTGGAGAAACTGTACTGGACTTCATTTTTGGAGAATCCTACCCGGACAATAAGCACTTTACCATATTACACAGAATTCCTTTGTCTCAAACAGGGAATACCTAATTCATTACGTTCCAGTATCTGGAAAAAACTATTCTTGCTAAACTCATCTTATTTACCCAGGAGCATCCAGCTTATTTACCAAAATTTCCAACATTCCTATAACGTGGAAGTTTCGCAACAAATTCAGAAAGATTTGTGTCGAACTTTCCCTACAATTGATTTTTTCAGAAAAACAGAGACAATTGATGATTTGTCGACGATTTTGAACGTATATGCTAATTACGATGCAGAATTGGGCTACTGTCAAGGTCTTTTATTTTTAGTTGGAGTTCTATACCACCATCTAAACAGCGATTGTGAATTAACATTCCACGCATTAACAAATATAATGGAGATTGAAACCGAATTGCATGACATCTTCACCCCTAGCTTGATGTTTCCTACACTAAACAAGTGGTTTGGTGAATTTACACACATTTTAAAACAAGCCGATGAAGAGCTTTATACGCATTTGACTTCATTTACTGATTTACTGACATTTTTGTACCAGTGGTGGCTATCATTCATGTCGTCGCATACTCCCAATTTCACAATCATCAACAGGCAGATGGATCTTTGTATGTTACAAGGATGGAAGATTGGTTTATTCAAGTTGAGTCTTGGGCTCATAATTAGTAACAAGCCTATACTTTTGAACATAAAGCAAGGTGACGAAGAAGTTGTTTATCAGCATATGCTAAACGAGTCCAAATGGGGGATCATAATCAATGACTTGGATGCGTTTTTTGGAGAATTGTTATTTTCGTGGAACGATGCACTTTTTTTGGATGTTGAGTCTATACAAGCACCTCTGGTGTCAGCTCCAGCAAGTATTTCAATATTTGACTCGCTCAAAGCGTTATCTTCGTTGACAATCAAGTCACTGACCATGAATCGAGAGAGATCCAATACGTTGAGTTCTTTGATTAACCAATCCTCAGCGTCGATATTTTCGTCCAACACAACAGTGTGTCAAGTTGGAAATAATGAACTAGATTCGGTGTACTCGGATGTTAGTGAGGATAGTCAAACAGAAGCTCGATCATTGATTAGTTATTTGAAGATTCCAACATTTTCCAAGAAGGAAGGAAACAAGGAGAATGGGGATGAGTTGGTTATGGAGAATGAATTACTAAAGGGTTTACTTTCAAGGGCCTATGATTTGTTGGATGAGACATGTTTAGGGAAGCAAGCCGAGGTTACTTTGTTGAGAAAGGAGATTTCAAAGGTATTGGGAGGTGATGTTAGAGGTAGTGCAAGGGAAGAGTAGGGGAAGAGTAGGAAGAGTAGGAAGAGTAGGGGAAGAGTAGGAAGAGTAGAGGAAGTACAGAGTATGATGCATCCCATATCTAGGCTTTACATTCGCAATAAACACTGAAAGGACTACTCTACAACGTCTGTTGCCCACACGTTCACGTGGTATGTTGGGGTCATGCTCCCTTGTCTATGCTGTTGAAGACTACGTTGCCAAAAAAAAAAAAAAAGTGTGCGTCTCTATAGTGTTGAAAAGCGCTTCTATCTCTAGGTATATTCATCGGATTGGATTATAAAATTTTAATCTATTCCAGGATGATTTGGACGAGGTCAGACTTTTTGTTTCCTCTGTATGGGGCTGGGGCCCATACTTTGTAGTAATACATATCTCCTGGTTAAAACAATCCAACAAAAACTGTTTTTGCCCCGCTTAAAAAATACACTTGCTGCGAGTGTGCTGGCTGATCCCCGTAAACGTTCCATGATCCATTGTGATTATCACCATACCAAGCAGCAAATGCAACTGGCTCATCTGCTGAATGCACGAGCACTCCCACTCAGTTTCGGGTCGCTCAAAATACTCGCCTCTGTCGAGGATGTTGTTGATAACGATCTCAGCTGGCTCAATGGCAGTGGGCGACAATTTGTCCAACTGGTAAATCCATTAAATTCTAATGCCGGTATCTTTTTGTTTTGCTGAGATTTTACTGTTTGCACGGGAGAATTCAATTGGTTTGTTGAATGGCCTACCCGTTTTCAAATCAAGAACTGCCATGGTGGGTTAATTGACTGATAAACAACTTTCTCTTTTTTGTTAGAGCAATTCTGGTTTTCACAATTTCTCAAGAGCAGAAACAAAAAGCAAAGAAAAAGGAAAGCTGTTTTAACCCAAAGTGAAACGTAAAAATCAAGTGCTTATATATCAAATTTTGTTTCCTTTTCCCTTATTGTTGTTTCAATAAATGTGGAAGGAAAAGGATGCCCTGCTCAGCTTTTACACAAAGCGAATACTATAAAGCAATATACCACCAGGCCCAGTGTGAATACTGCCGCTATACTCCACGGGTAAGAGATAGATTGGGAAGCTTGGAGTTTATCATTTTAGCAGTCTCTTATGACCTTCTTCCTCTGGTTGTTGGTGTAGTCAACACCAAAATATAGTACTATGCGTTTCCTTCTTGGAGAGAGTCTGTCGAGTGGCACAATGTAGAGTGTTTTTGTTTTACCCTTCAAGTGGATGGCACGAATTGATCTGTAGTAATGCCGTTCCTGCAGCTTCTTTATGTCGCTGTAGAATGTGTTAAAATTGCCGAGGAGCGAGGCGCGATACTAGCCACACTATCGAGCGACACTACGAGCGACACTATCGAGCAACACTATCGAGCAGAACGAGATAGTGGAGCAGCTCATGTAGCCATTTGCTCATGTAGCCACTTGGTTCATGTAGTTTATCATATAATTGCTAAATATGTCGTCTGTGAAGATAAACAAAAGTCGCTCTACTAACTACTATTAAATGTATGGGATAAAAGTTTTAATTTTGTTACCAGTATACATTGAATGAATTCGCAGTAGCTAGCAGTGAAATATTGCAGAGTATAGTACAAGAAAGTCGCCACGAGCCCCAAATAAATGTGAGAGATTTATTCCACTATCGAGCAGTAACACTATCGAGCAGTGACACTATCGAGCAGTGACACTATCGAGCAGAGCGAGATAGTGTCGGTGTAGAGTGTCGGTGTAGTTGGTGTCAGTGTAATAAGTGTCGGTGTAATAAGTGTCGGTGTAATAAGTGTCGGTGTAATTGGTGTCAGTGTAATTAGTGTCGGTCTAGTATGTTTCAGATTTATCGACAGTGTTTCAGATTTTTTTGACAATGTTTCAGATTTTGTTTCAGATTTTCACGACAACGTTTCAGATCTTGTTTCAGATTTTTCGACAGCGTTTCAGAATTTTTTGATAGCGTTTCAGAATTTTCGACAGCGTTTCAGATTTTTTGACATTGTTTCAGATTTTGTTTCAGATTTTTTGACAGTGTTTCAGATTTTTTCGACAGTGTTTCAGATTGTGTTTCAGATTTTTCGACAATGTTTCAGATTCTCCGACAGTTGTTCTGGACATTTCTACAATTATTTCAGACATTTCTCAATTGTTTTATACAATTCTCAGTTGTTTTATCTACCTCTATGGGCTAACCTACCTTCTATAGTCGAACATCATTTATATTACTCTACTCTACTCTACTTTACTCTATACACTATCTCAGTACTCTACTCTACTCTATACACTATCTCATTACTCTAATCTACTCTAACGTACTCTGTACTCTACTCTGTACTCTACTCTGTACTCTAATCACTACTCACTACTATCTCATTACTCTACACTATACTACACTATACTACTCTGCTCTAGACTACACTACTCTGCTCGATAGTGTCGCTCGATAGTGGAGCATTGACATCCACCGATACTGCAACATGAGTCTTGGAATTGCGTATTTGCAGCTACTGTAAAGTAGCTGAATGGAAATAGTAATGATGTTGGAACTAGTAATAATGTTGCAACTAGTATTAGCAGACTCTACAGTTGTATTCAACAGCTCTACAACTTATAAAGCTCTCTACAATTGTATTAAATAGCTCTACAGTCGCAGTAGACATTTCTATATTTATTTCAGACATTTTTTCAGTTCTTTCAGATATCCTGACAGTATTTCAGATTTTCGACAGCGTTTCAGATTTTTCGACAATGTTTCAGAATTTGTTTCAGATTTTTCGACAGTGTTTCAGATTTTTCGACAGTTGTTTTCGACATTTCTTTAATCATTTCAGACATTTCTCAGTTGTTCCGCATAATTCGAAGTTGTCCCAGACATTTTTCAGTTGTTTGTAGTATCGGTGTAGTAAGTGTCGGTGTAGTTAGTGTCAGTATTATTAGTGTCCGTATACTTAGTGTCGGTGTACTTAGTGTCCGTGTACGTAGTGTCCGTGTATGTAGTGTCCGTGTACTTAGTGTCCGTGTAATAAGTGTCGGTGATAGTGTCCGTGACAGTGTGCTCCACTATCGAACTGAACGAGATAGTGTCGAGAGTGTTGCTATTCAATGTTTCTCCACTATCTCGCTCTGCTCAATAGTATCAGTCAGTCTGCTCACCCCCCTCTATAGTGTCCCTATAAGCAATTCTTTTAAATAAAACAAATTCTTATAGTAGTAAATAAATAATCATATATAAATGTCATAGTAAATAGATGTTCATAGTAAATAAATGCTTAAATAAATTCTCATAGTAAATAAATTAAAAAAATGCTTATAATAAATAAATGGTTATAATTTACTATAGTTTAGGGCCATAATAAATTTACTGCTATAATTTACTGTCATGAGCTTTACTGTCATAATTTACTGTCATGAGCTTTACTGTCATAATTTACTGCCATAAGCTTTACTGCCATAAGCTTTACTGCCATAAGCTTTACTGTCATAATTTACTGCCATAAGCTTTACTGCCATAAGCTTTACTGTCATAATTTACTGCCATGAGCTTTACTGCCATGAGCTTTACTGTCATAATTTACTGTCATGAGCTTTACTGCCATAATTTTTACTATAATAGTAATAAGGCCAGCTGCTCTACTATTTCGCTTCGCTCGCTCTGCTTGATAGTGTCACATAGTAAGGCCAGTGCCGCTCCACTATCTCGCTCTGGTCCACAGTGTCACATAGTAATAAGGCCTGTGCTGCTCCGCTATCTCGCTTCGCTCGCTCTGCTCGATAGTGTCACATAGTAATAAGGCCAGCTGCTCCACTATCGAGCAGAGCGAGATAGTGTAACATTATAATAAGGCCAGCTGCTCCACTATCGAGCAGAGCGAGATAGTGTAACATTGTAATAAGGCCACCTGCTCCACTATCTCGCTCTGGTTGACAGTGTCACATAGTAATAAGGCCTGTGCTGCTCCACTATCTCGCTTCGCTCAATAGTGTCGCTCAATAGTGTCGCTCGATAGTGTCGCTCGATAGTGTCGCTCGATAGTGTCGCACAATCTCCAAATTTCTTCTCCCATCTCTATATTCTCATAATTCTTTTACATTCTTTTACATTCTTTTATCTTGTACATTTTTTATATTTACATACATACTCTTGTATGTTGTCATATATTTCATACATTCTTTACATACATTCTTTTATATTCCTTAATATTCTTTAATATATTACATAGTATCTTCTATTCTTTTATATATCACATAGTATCTTTTAGTATCTCTTACATTCTCACATCACTTTGTATCTATCTCATACTATTAGTCTCACATCACTTACCAGCTCTATCTCATACTAATACTCTCCCTACACTATATACTACACTACTCTACACTATACTCGCCCTACATTACTTTATATACTACACTACTCTATATACTACACTACACTATATACTACACTGCTCTACACTACTCTACAATATACTACACTACTCTACAATATACTACTCTACAATATACTACACTACTCTACAATATACTACACTACTCTACAATATACTACACTACTCTATACTAGTCAATGGTGCTCCACTATCTCACTCTGCTCAATAGTGTCGCCATACTAATACTCTCCCTATCACTTACTATCTCATATTATTGTCAGTGTTGCTACAAAGTGCTTCTCCACTATCTTGCTTCGTTCGATAGTGTTGGGAGCCAGTGTGGTCCACTATCTCGCTTCGCTCGATAGCGTTGCTCGCAGCGTGCACCTTTACCAAAACACCTTTTTTTCTGTTGAATTTTTTTTGATCGAAAAAGGAAAAAACTTTACAACCAAATTTTTTGCTGCCTTTTGCTACTTTTCCTTTTCTCAAACAGAGTTGAAGGAAAAGAGGCTAAAGAAGACAGTATAGGTGGCTCAATTTTGGATTGAAATCAGGTCTCATTGTTGTATTATTATTCTTATCACTTTTGCTCCCGGTTTTTTTCTTGTTTTCAGGGTCTTTACATATATACACTAGTTGGAAGAAGAAGAAGCTCATATACTATAGTGGAAAAGAGTCATATACTATAGTGGAAAAGAGTCATATACTATAGTGGAAAAGAGTCATATTTCTATACTATAGTGGAAAAGAGGTCATATTTCTATACTATAGTGGTTTCTTTCCCTCGTGTTTGAAACAAATCTATCGTCATTGATCCCCCCCCCCCCCCAGCGCGTCCCCGCCGTTTTCTGCAACACCCGGGCCAGTTCCTCCTCCCCTGCCCTACCCTGCCCTGCCCTGCCCTGCCCTTTTTTTTTGGTTTTGTTTTCCAATTTTTGTTTAATTTGGGGGGTTTTTTTTTCATTAGCATACTATCGTGATTTCTACTTCTTCTTCCTCAGAGAGCCCAAAGGGCAGCAAAAAAATCCAAAGGCACCACCAGCTTCAAAAAAAACAACAACAACAACAGCAACAACTAAAAGATCCCGAGCTAACTAAGGTGTTAATCAATCAGCTATCGATATTACTCTCCACAGTAGATTTTGCAACTGTTGATTCGCATTATAAACAAATTAGACACATTTTACTGAGACATAGCAGCAGCTCTATTGTACGAATCAACTATTTTGAAAAACTCATTAATTTAATCAGATTTAGTGACCTATCGAAAAGGGAAACATTAACTCCATTGGAACAGTTATTTTCAAAAGAGCTCAATTTTATTGCATTTGATTTAAAAGAAGCAGAGACATTTATCCTTCAATTAAACAAGCGGTTTAACTTTAAAAATTCAGATAGTATCGTTGACTTTGTTATCAAGTTTAATTGCGACTTGATCTTTTCATTCATTTTATTAATCAATTATAACAACGCATCAACTTCTCAAGCTGCAAGATCGTTTTTGAAAAACCATTCTTTAGAATTATCAAAATTGCTAAAAGATCGAAGATTCCCACCTGGTTACAATTGGAGTTTACTTTTAGAAGCCATTTTAAACACACCCTATTTCCCATTTTTGCACAAACTCTTAATTTTAACCTCGCTTAAAGCTTTTAAACTAACTATTGAACCTATAAACAAGTTTTACCAAAACATTTTGAAAATGTCATTTAAAGACTTGATATCAGAAGTTGGAATTGATAATCTCATTCCGGAAAAATTATTACCGGCACTATTGCAAATGAAACCAAATGAAGTAGATCAAGGTATAGCATTGATCTTGTCGGAGTTTTTAATCCCTGGGTCTCAAGGAATTAACTACTCGACTCCTTCTCCTTCATCTTCTCCATCATATGGTCAAACTCTTGTTGAAGCAAATGCTAAGGGTGCACAACTACAAGCAAGCTTCAGAGCAATTGAACTACTGGGGAAATTCAATATCAACTGGTACGAAGTGTTTAATTATGTTCACCAATACTTGTTTGATTCAAGTCAACGAAATATCCAACCTTCATTGACAAGTTTAACTCAATTTTTGTCTGCTTTGGATTTTAAGCAGGAACCAATAGACATTTTTTTAAACTACGAATGGTGGTTTGATAGAACTTTGCTTTATTTATTACAAACAGCAGAGGCATCGCAGGGTGCATTTGATATAGCATTGCTGAAAAACTTGGCATTGTGTTTTGATGAAGATAAAGATAATGGCAAGGAAAAGGATAAGGATAAGGAAAAGGATAAAGAAAAGGAAAAAACCGGTGCTCCATCCAGCCAGCGTAGGAATATTTTGAAATTTATCAATGTTGGAAAATTGGAACTACAAGTTGTTATGAAAATCCAATCGCCACAACAGCAACAGCAACAACAGCATATTCCACAATCTGAACAAGATTTCAAAATTAACTCATTTATCAATCAGATTTTCGAACACGATTATAGAGTGTTTCCCGAATATGTTCTTGCTGCAGCTTTAGCCATTATTGAAAAACCCCCATTTATTAATGATTTGATAGATACTTTGTTTGGCTTGCTACTAGATAGTGATTCGCCTGCATTGCCCAAAGTCATACGATTATTTCTCGAATCTGGTTTGGCAAGTACAAAGTTGGCAAACTATTTAAAGAGTAGAAATACAATTGAGGCAGCAGAAGAAGTAGCCAAGGTGGCGTCAATGTCAATGTCAACATCGCCAGGTCTTTTATCAGATGTGCTAAATCAAACCTGGGTGTACGATGTGAAGTCAGCAGTTAAATTACTCGTGGAGACAACTTTTTACGATTACGACTATAATGCTGAATTGGAGGCAAAGTTGAAAGATTCGCAATTGAAAAAACAGGTGTATGATGCATTACTTGAAGTTCTTAGTGAAAGAGCACAAAGGGATTATGAAACATGTCAGCAACAACAACAGCAACAGCAACAGCAACAACAACAACAGCAACAACCATATCAAACCCCTCGGCAAGTGTTGAAAATTGCAATTGTAAGCACTTTACTAGAGAAATTGAAAAATAGTAATGGTATTGTAGATTTGCAAAAATTAAAGGATTTGCAAATTTTACTTTTGACAACGTATCCGAGATTAATCAACTACGGTAATGGCCACGATGAAGTTATACTTGCCAATGAAGCCAAGTCAAGCTTTTTCCCACAAGAGGTTGAATTGGAAATGAAGGAATATTATTCAAAAATGTATAGCAAGGCAATGGAAATTCCCGAAATTGTTGATATACTAATCAAGATGAAATCCAGCAATGATCCGCATCAGCAAGATGTATTTGCTTGCATGATCCATTCACTACTAGATGAGTATAAGTTCTTTGCAGAGTATCCGCTAGCAGCGCTTGCATCGACGTCATTGTTATTTGGGGCGCTCTTGGAAAATGATTTGATTCACGGTACAACACTAACAGTTGCACTTAATTTCATTTTCGAATCGTGTAACCAACCACCCGAATCAAAGCTTTTCAAATTTGCCGTTCAATCATTGTACAACTTCAAGTCGAAACTACATGAGTACCCTATATATTGTAAACATTTATTAGAATGTCAATCTTTGGCAACACATGCAAAGATGTACCAAGTTGTTAAAGATGCAGCTAATGGTATTCCATGCGGTGGTGCTCCTACTGGTGGTGCCACGCAAGCTTCAACGCCAGATGTAGGATCAAAGTATCAATCTATCAATTATGTTGAGCAGGCTGTTGGTACGGTGCAGCAACAAGAGCCACCAGAGGAAATTCGAGATAAACTATTATTCTCAGTGAACAACATGACTACGGAGAACTTGAGGCTATCCGAGGTACGGGATTCATTGCAAGAGGCATATTTTGCATGGTTTGCTGAATACTTGGTGGCTGATAGGGCCAAAGCAGAGCCAAACAACCATGCATTATATTCTGATCTCGTAAAATCCTTGGCTAACGCTGTGTTTTTTGAGTACATTATGAATGTCACGATAAAAGAAGTTTACTTTATTATCAAGAATTTCAAAGACTCAAGAACCGAAAGAAACCAGTTGAAGAATCTTGGTGCATGGTTAGGTAGAATCACATTGGCTAACGATAAGCCACTAAGGAGAGACTTGGTGGCATTGAAGTTTTTATTAGTGGAAGCCTATGACTTTGATACCTTAACCTTGATTATCCCATTTGTGTGTAAGATTTTGGACCAAGCACAATATTCTAAAGTGTTTAAGCCACCAAACCCATGGGTTTTGGGGGTGATGTCGGTTTTAGCTGAACTATATGAATGTGCAGACTTGAAACTTAATTTAAAGTTTGAAATTGAAGTTTTGTTGAATTCGTTCAAAATGAAACTTTCTGATCTTGAGCGGAGTAAAATTATTGAAAATCATAGTAAGGATCCTATTGTCTTGGCTACAACATTTGGTCTTTTGCCTCAAGCTGGAAATACCCAATTAGCACATGAATTATCACGGATGAGTTTGGAAAATGGACAAGGACTGAACCAATTACCAGTCTTTCCTCCTCAAGGTGTTGATAAACAGTATATACAGCAACAACAACAATTACAACAACAATTACAACAACAACAACAGCAGCAGCAACAACAGCATCAACAGCATCAACAACAACAACATCATCAGCAACAACAACAACAACAATCGATATTACAACAGCCACAACCAACTTCTCTTCATCTTCCACAACATCAACAACAACAACAACAACAACAACAACAATCCGAGTCTGGCTTGGATACAAGTTTCAGTACACTTATTGGTAATTCCATCTTCACTCAACACGCAAATTTGAGAAGAGCCTTCCAAGCATCATTATCTAGAGCGGTAAGAGAGTGTGCTATTCCGATAATGAACCGAGTTTCAGAAGCTGTGTTGATTACCACTGAGTCCTTAATCAAGAAGGATTTTGCAACCGAAGGAGATACTGAAAAATTCAGAAGAAGTTATCGTAGGTTAGCACAACAATTATCTCATAGTATGGTATTATGCAGTGGAAAAAAATTGCTAGCAGAGACAATTGAAGCTACAATGTTACAACTTTTGGGTAATAATCCGAATGAGATTCCAATGATGGAATTGAATAATGCCATACAAGCCAACGTAGGCCTTTGTGTTGATATTGTCAACAAAATTGCTGTAACTAATGTCACTGACTTAATTGATGAAAGAATGAGACCATACATCATTAATCGTGAACGTCATAATCCGGATCAACCATATATTGAAAAGGGTACTCCAGAGGCTTCTTTGAGATTACCTGAACCTTTAGGATTGAGCACAAGAGGTTTAAGTGCACAGCAATTGAAGATTTATGAACATTTCCTTGAAATGGCTAATGATGAACGTGGCGGCGGAGTTGGTAGTGTCCACATGATTGCGCTGCTCCAGCCTCAACAACAACAACAGCAACAGCAGCAACAGCAACAACAACAACAACAACAACAACAGCAACAGCAACAGCTTCTTGTTCATCATCATCATTCACAAGCAGTTCAAATGCAGCAGCAGCAACAGCATATGTCACTGCAAATCACTCAGGATTTCCCATTACATCAACAAGCAGCAAATACCTTGCTACAAGAAGATGTTGCATCATTGGAACAGTTGTTCACCATGATTACTCAAAATTGCGAAAAGGCAATTCATTTACTTTCGGAAGTTCATGAAACCAAATTGGCTGAGTTACCGCCTAATCATCCAATAATGTCTGCTCTCACGCAGGCACTAGCTATTGCACAAGCAAATGCAATCAAGTATCCCGACTTGTTATTGAAAGCTGCACAATATGCAGTGAATTGTCTTTTTACGCAGGTTCATGAAAATCCAATGAGCAACGAGATTTATGTTGTTATGCTTGATAAATTATGTGAAAACTCGCCATCAACAGCAAAAGATGTCACTTGGTGGTTGGTACATTCGCAGGACCAAAGAAAGTTCAACATGCCTGTTATATTGTCTCTTTTGAAAGTTCAATTAATTCAACCTATTAAATTGGACTCATCAATTGGTAACTTGATTAGAGAATCAAACAATCCGGTTGTTGTTAAGTTTGGTGCGACCTTACTATATAAGATATTCACGGCTGAGGATTTGGTTCGTCCTATTGCTTTGAGGTCTGAGTTTGCCAATACGTTGGATGCGCTATATGATTATCGAAACTTGAATCTTCAAGATGAAGAGAACAAGCAGGCCAAAAAAGAGGTGGATAAGTTATTCGATGCCCTCAATAATGCTGATCCTGTGTCCAATGAACTATTTGCACAATTGGGTTACGTATTTGCTGAATGGGTGAGATTATTATCTCATGGAAATGAGGCCACTTTTAAATCTCAAGATGAGTTTATTGCTGGGTTGATTGAATCATGCATCTTGACCGATCCCGAGCAGTTTAAATCTTTTTGGAAAGCAGCAATAAAGATCTCAACTGCTTTATTCGGTACCGAGCACGAATTGAGAAGCAGAACGCAACACGAAGCATATTTGTCCATTGACAGTTTGGCGATGTTGATTGTTCGGGTTGTGTTAACTGTTGAAGATGACGAGCAAGCAATACTGTACTTGAAAAAGATTATTAGCATTGTTGTGTTGAATTTAGTAACTGACCACGAAGACACCAAATCCAACTGGAACGAAAGAGTTTATTTTAGATTCTTTTCCTCGTTGTTGTCTGCATGGAGCGATGCTTCTATTTTGGATGAAGAAGCTACCAAGGACATCGATGCTCCATTTTACGAATTCTTGGGTGAAGTATTCAATTCCTTACAACCAATTGTAATTCCGGGATTTACTTTTGCCTGGATTTCCCTAATAAGCCATCGTATCTTTTTGCCCAAGATTTTGGAGTTGCCAGATAGAGAGGGGTACACTGTTGCTGTCAAGTTGTTAACTGCATTGTTGAAGTTTCAACAAACTTATCAAAACAGAGGTAACAACCATGATGTATTTAATGTTACATTCAAGGCCATTAATAGGATTTTTGTAGGGTTGCTACACGATTATCCTGAGTTTTTAGTAGAGTGTCATTATCAATTGGTTACCGCTACTCCAAGAGGATACATTCAGCTCAAGAATATTATTTTATCGGCAACACCTAAATTGATCACCGTGCGTGATCCATTTACTCAAGGCTTGAAAGTTGAGAGGTTGCCTGAAATAAATGATGCACCTGTTGTATTTTACAAACCAGTTGACGATTTAGCAAAAGTTGGCTTGAAAAAACCAGTGGAGAATTTCCTTCGGATTCCTGCGCCGGGGTTGATGAAGACAATTTATAATGGCTTGAAACTAAACCACCCTTATCAAACTGATGATTTTGGGTATACTGAAACAATCAGTTTCAACACGAAGCTTGTTAATGCATTAGTGCTCCATTCTGGAATGAGTGCTGTTGCTGATAAGTCAACAACAACAACAACGCGTGGTTTTAACTCCAAGACGTCTCAAGTTGCTTTACTTGTTGATTTGATGAATTACGGCTCGAATGAATTTAAGTATTTATTGATCAACAGTATTGCTAACCAATTGAGGTACCCCAACAGTCACACGCATTGGTTTATTGGAATAATCTTACACTTTTTCAGCTCAAACACATTATGGGGCACACCTAATAGTAAGCTCGTTGTACAAGAAATAATCACTCGCGTACTATTAGAAAGAAGAATTGTTAACAAGCCACACCCATGGGGTTTGACTATTGTGTTTACAGAGTTGGTCAAGAATGATAATTTTGGGTTCTTTGAATTACCATTTGTGAAGAATTCAATTGATGAAATTAAGACAATTTTTGATACTTTATCGTTAAACGTTAAAGGATCGAATTAAACTAAAAAGAAGAGAAGAGAAGAGAAGAGAAAAGAAGAAAATTAAAAAAAAAAAATGAAAAGAATGAAAATGTAAGCTGTATATAAATTTTTTACGAATATTGATGATTTAAAATAGAGGTCATAAATCTAGAGTATCCTCTCCATTAGTTTTGACTGGAAAGAGACCCATGAGAGGCAAGTTCATGATTGGTAAAACTTCTCTTGTTTGGTGACATTTGTCCAGTATCGAATGATGTTTTCTTTGTTGGTGATTTTTTTTTTTTTTTTCTTTTGGTGACAGGTTGAGAAATAACAAAGTCAGAACAGATCAAAATTTCATCAACGCCCATTTAATACGCTATTGCTCGCGGAAACGGAACAAACGATTAGACCAGTGTGATTCCGCCTTTTATCGTGTTATTGTCATTTAGTTCTTCTTTTTCCTTTCTCACGGTGTCATATCTTTTCACTGTTCCTAACTGATATATCTATTTACGCGGATCTTTCTCCCCCACCCTCTTTCTTATTTTCAAGAGAGAAAACTATGTCGCGTGTTAAGAGAATAGCCAAAGAGCTAGAAGAGTGTCGTCAAGACAAGCAGTCAGGAGTGACGCTTATATTAAACAATGATAATGATTTAACGCATTTGACAGGGTATTTCCAAGGACCGCCGGGAACACCGTATCAAGGCGGTACATTTCAGGTTGCGATAGATATTCCCAATGAGTACCCATTTAAGCCGCCGCAGATGAAGTTTACTACCAAAGTTTACCATCCAAACATTTCATCGGTTACTGGGGCAATATGCCTCAATATTTTAAAGGATAAATGGACGCCAGTGTTAACCTTGAAGTCGACGTTGATTTCATTACAGCTCTTATTGCAATCACCGGAACCAAATGACCCACAAGACGCCGAAGTTGCCAAGCACTACTTGAGCAATAAGAAGGGGTTTGAAGAAACAGCAGCCTACTGGACTAAGCTATATGCCAATAACGGCAACACCGACGAAAGTCTGGGTACACCTTTGGTGAGTGATTCTGCATTATACGGAATCGATGAGGAAATTGTAACTCAATTTGAAAATATGGGTTTCCCTAGAGACAAAATCATTGAAGTTTTGAGAAGAATGGGGGTAAAGAGCTTGAAAGGTGTAAATAACAAGAGTGACTTGGAAAATAAGATTTTAGAAGAATTATTGAGAGAGTGTCAATAATATATAGCAAGAGAAGGAAATAACTTGTCCCTTGTAGTTTGGATAATTCACGAGCATTTCTGCTAATCTCATTTCAACCCTCTCCCTCTATCTTTTCAGATAGTCCTCTCTACTGCTGATCATAGCCAACAACCAACAGCCAACAGCCAACAGCCAACTTGGCTGCTCTGTTGGGGGGTCCATCTTCTTTCGTTAGCTCCTGTATATAAATCCTTTTCGGAAAACTGAAAAATTTTGGCGTGGTTTGAATTTTTTTTTTTTTTCTTTTCCCCTTCAAAGATCAAAAGTTGTTGAATTGACATTGCAATTATCAACCATTTGGAGTGATAAGGTCAATTCAAGCCAAGTATAGACCGTTTTTTGGAGCTTTGGATCACTGGCTTGGTTAGATCTACCAACCTTTATAGAAAAATCTTGCTTTTTTTTGCCTCGTTTTTTTTTTTTTTTTTTTTTTTTCCGCCTGTTTGTTCCCCCCATCCTTGTTAAGTTGGAGCACTGGTAATTACAATTCTTATAAAGTGAATCATGGCAATGTCTGCGGCAAGTAACCAAGAACGTGAGGTTGTTAATGAACAATCGCAAAACTCCTCGTTGAGTGCCACACCAAAGATTCTTGACAAAAGTTTACCATTATCTGAGGAAAGAGCTTCTGAAATTGGATGGTACTTTATAAAGTCATATTATGATTTTTTCGTGACAAAGTTGGAGGATATTCACAAAATCTACCATTCGAATGCATCCATTATTCATGATGCGTTTCCTGGGGAAGAGAAGAAGAAGAAGAAGGAGGAGGGTGAGGAAGAGGGTGATGACGTATCTCCAACAAGTTACAAAGCTACGGGCATCTCAGCCATTAAGCAGTGCTTTAGTGAACATCTCATTGGCGATGAGCAAGAAAAAAAAGATACTAATAGAATTGTGATTACAAGTGCCTGTTTCCAAGTTTCTTTGGAGAAGAACTTTATCATTGTCACATTTGGCGAGTGGTCGAAAAATGATTCTCCATATCAACAATTTACCCAAACTTTTCTTTTGACTCCCGGTAAAAGAGAAAGCACTTATGACGTTGCAAACGATATTTTGAGGTTTGTTCAAAGTAATGGCTATAATGGTAATCTGGTTGCAGAGAAGGTGGAAACCACAAAACAAAAGCAATCCACTGAGGAACCTCCCGTGGAAACTGCTGCCACTGCCACTGCCACTACTGCTGCTACTACAGCTGAGCAGGAAACCAAACAGGTTAATGGAAACAAAGTCGATGATAATGGTGATGAAGCTTCTGCTACTACTGCTGGTACTACAACTGAAGCTACTAATGGGGAATCTAAAAAGAAACAAGAGAAATTAGCTACGGTTTTGAATGGATCAACCGAATCTAATGAGGAATCAGTTAAACCAAAGGAAAAAACCAAAAAGGACACTCCTGATGTGGAGGGGAAAGTGGAAGCCAAGTCAACAGAAGAAGAGAAAGAGAAAGAGAAATCAGTCAAAGAGGAAGAAAAACGTACTGAAGAGCCAGCTAAACCAGCAGCTCCTCCGCAACCAATGACATGGGCAGATTTGGCAAACCAAGCTGTTCCCGCTGTTACTGCTGCTACAAAGTCAACAAAGACTTTAGTATCCTCACCAAGTGCTGCCACTTCCAAATCAGCATCAGCCGCCAATTCTGCTGCTGGTGCTTCTTCTTCTTCTTCTTCCGCCTCCGCCTCCGCCTCCTCCTCTTCTTCGTCTTCTTCTAACTCCACTACTACCGCCACTACAGCTAAGAAATTCCCAGCAACAGCGCCCTCATCAACATCTTCATCTACATCTTCAGGAGGAAAATACAAGAAAGATGAGTGGTATCCAATCTATATTCGTGGAAATCGTAACATTGATGAAAAACAATTGAAAGATCACCTTGTCAAAAAATTTGGAGAATTGAAATTTTTCAGAACAATTCAAAATATAGCCTTGGTTGATTTCGTGCTTAAAGAGGCACAATTAAAAGCGCTTGACGCAAAATCAACTACGGTCGATGGGTTTACTATAACTTTAGAGCCTAGAGAATCCAAGACTGGTAATAGCTTTCACAATAATTCAAATGGGGGTAATAAGAAATACAAAGACGGTAAAGATGGATTCAAAGATGGCAAAGATGTATTCAAAGATGGTAGAAAAGTAGGTGGGTCTAATGGAGGTGGTAAACCCAATGATGGTAGAAAGCTTGGTACAAATCCAGGTGCCAACAAACAACAACAGCAACAGCAACAACAGCAACAGCAACAGCAACAACAGCAAAAGCCCGGTAAATCAACAGCAAAATAGACGAAAATAAAATAAAACTTGGGCATTCTTACAAAACTAGCATTAGCTTAAACTAAAATGCGGTCAAACCCGTGTGATTACCGTTATTCAAAGGCAGTCAATTATGTAGAATAATGTTCATAGCACTTTTAATAAAAGAAAAACAGGAAAAAGAAACAAAGATAAAGAATGGTTTTGAATTTTCACCTACTTAAACTAGTGAAATCACAAACTGAAAGTTCACTAAAATCGAGCTTTTCATCAATATCTCAGTGCAAACACAATAGAAGCAAAATAATTGGAAAAAGTATAAACCTGAAGAAATAATCTACCTTTATCTATTCTTTCTATCCTGTATATCTAAAGAAATAATCTACTTTTATCTATTCTTTCTATCCTGTCTATACCTGAATGTAATAAACCATCATCTTTCAATAGCTGATGAGGGACGACTTCTTTTCGCAGCCAAATTTTTCCCATGGCAAATGCAACTGGTAGCATTATTAGTTGCAAAAATATAGAGTTGTTGGTATGAACGATAGAGATAAACCAGTCAATTGGTAACTGATAATAGATAAATTAGTTCTATAGCAAGATTACTAGGTGGGTATTACCTCAAACGGTTTTGTAATGTGCTATGTCACTCCTTTTTCTCTGTTTGTGCCATTTACTTTAGTTGTAACAAAAACCCTCTTTTCCAATCAAGATTTTCTCAGCAAAATGTAAACAAAAGACATGACAAGGAGAAGGAATTAGTTCCTAACCTCTTTGTCATGGAGGAATTAGTTCCAAACCTCTCTGATATTATTGAAACAAGCTACTAAGCTACAAAGTGTTGCCCCACTATCGAGCAGGGCGAGATAGTGGGCGAGCTCGACAGTGGGTGAACTCGACAGTGGGTGAATTGGCTCCAAACCTCTCTGATATTATTGAAACAAGCTACTAAGCTACAAAGTGTTGCCCCACTATCTCGCTCTGCTCGATAGTGGGCGACCAAGTTGAATATGGTTCTATAGTTCATTTTGTAAAGTATATATGGTAGCGTTGTACATTCTTTTCCACTGCGGCCAATCAAATTTTTCACTTTATTACTTGTATTTCCATTCATTAGAGAAAGAGTTGAGTTTCCTAGTAAGACCTCAAGTTTCCAAGCTCTTGTTGCTCCTAGTTGCTATATATGCCAATGCCATCGTCAGCAATACTTCCCTTCACAGAAGCAAATACTCGCAGAGTCGCATCTTTGTTCCGACAAGCAATGCGTACTGCATTTGATCATGCATTGAAATTCGAAGTTTACAGAAATGCTACGCTAGATATAAGAGCACAGTTTGAAGCAAATAGACACGTCTCCGATCCTGAGCAATTGGAAAGGTTGATTCAAAAAACCGAGGCAAAATTGGCTCATTGGAAACATCCAGATCCATATATTCCTCCTTCTAGACCTGGCGGAACAAAGTATCAAAGAAATATCCCTAGTCCTAAAGAGCCTATTGTTCCTGGTAACTGGTGAGGCTGTGGCTCACTATCGAGCAACACTATCGAGCAACACTATTGAACAACACTATTGAACAACACTATTGAACAACACTATCGAGCAGAGCGAGATAGGGTTGTAACAGGCTACTGAGTGCTGCTCGATGGTGTTGTAACAGGCTACTGAGTGCTGCTTGATAGTGTTGTAACAGGCTGCTGAGTGCTTCTCGATAGTGTTGTAACAGGCTTCTGAGTGCTGCTCGATAGTGTTGTAACAGGCTACTGAGTGCTTCTCGATAGTGTTGTAACAGGCTTCTGAGTGCTTCTCGATAGTGTTTAAACGAATAGTCATCCGTATACTATTTATAAGTTAAAAAAGAAAAAAAAAAAAGTATTTAGCATCTAGTAGATTAGAGTATCCTGATTCAAGTCAGATGCTCTTTTCCTGCCGGTAATTTCCTTCTTCCATTGTCTTTGCAACATTTGAACTGAAACATTAGAGGTGGCGGCACCTATTTGTCCAATCATTGCAAAATATTTCAACAATAATTCTTGCTGCTCTTTCTTGGTACTTTCCAACCCAGTAACAAGTAACGGCCATTGTATCATCAATAGTAAAAAGGGCGAGGCGTGCTGTTGGACATCGGAGAACTGATGTAGATAATGTATAAACAGAACACATTTGTCCACAATAATACTAATATTAGGGTTTGTAGAGGTCAAGTGGAAAAACCTCGTTAAAATCATTATGATTGAACTGAGAATAAATGATTGATGCAGAATATCTTGCCAACTCAACCAAAAGCTCTCTTCTCCAATACGAATCTCTTCGATGGGTAAGCCTATCGTGTATTTATTGTGTAGTTGAGATTCAGGTATAACCCCTCTGGAATCAAGGAAAACAATCTCACTCTGTTTATAAAACTCGGCAAGAATCTTCATGTTTTGCATGGGTTCAATCATTGCATCGCCGTTTTGTCTATATTTATTCAACAATTTAAGTAAATCTCTAAAAATTGATATACCAGAATTATGAAATCCCATGATTATATTGAACCCCTGATCTGTGATTATATCCATTTCTTTCAATACCAGAATCTCATAGTCGTTGCCTGCAGAAATCAATTGATCAATTTCCATATCTGTTTGTAAAGTACCGCCAAGATTAGTACTCAACCCTGCCAAGATCTCAATCGATAAGAACCAATATTTGCAAAACACCAATATTTTTGAAACTTTTGTGGTACAACCATCACCGCTGCCGCTACTGCCGCTACCACCACCACCACCACTTTGAGTAGATATCTTCAACAATAAATCCTTACACCCAGTTAAATGAGGTCGCCATTGTTGAGTACTGGTGGCAGTAGCAGCAGTCAATAACAACAAAGTCAACAAAACAGCTTCAATATTGGCATTTAAATTGTCTACTTCCCCTCGTTTCGTCGCTAGTTCTAACAATTTCAAACATCTTGACAAATAGGCACCATACGCCTTCTCATCCTCAGGTTGTTTATACTTCATATAACTTGTCTTTGCCCCTTCTGCTAATACAGCACAAAGTAAAAAAGGCTCAGTACTTGCAGTTTTCAAAATCATGTCTCTTGCGGGTTTGGAAGTGGATTTAGTTTGACGATGATACGCGTCAAACGGTTCAATTATATTGGCGAAATTATTGTAAAATTGTTCAAGGTAAAGCACTTCATGTTTACGTTTAAGTTTTATATAGTTTAATGGTAAATTGGCAATGTGCTCATCATCATTGTGAGTTGCAGAGTACTGCTCCAGTTGCAGTTGCAGCAGCAGCAGCAGCTGCTGCTGCTGCTGCTGTAGTTGTTGTTCTTGTTGTTGTTGATGGTGGTGATGTTGATGATAATGTTGGTGTTGGTGTTGGTGTTCTTGTTGTTCTTGTTGTTGCAGCTGCTGATGTTGTTCCAATGGTGATTGGTGTGCAAAAGGAGAATTATCAAAAAGATCAAACTGATAATCGTCTTGAAACGACTGTACATTAGAAAACTCCATAATTTCATTAACAAGATTCGACAAGTCGGTCGTTAGAATGCTTAAATCTGTCCCATTGAAAAAATCAAAATGGTCATTTGGTGTTGTGGCTGAAATACTATTGTTCTTGCTCTTATCATTTTTGGTCCTTTTGTTATTATTATTATTATTATTATTACTATTATTATTACTATTAATTAAGTTTTCGATATTCAACAAAGATCGCTTTTGCTGTAGATGCAGTGGAGTCATCAGTTCTGATTCTGGTGTAAGAGTTGTGGTTGCGGCCATAGTTTGGCGTTTCTCCGGCTGCGGGTATTGCTGTTGTTTCATCTGATTCTGCTGATTCTGCTGGTTCTGCTGCTGATTCTGCTGTTTGTGCTCTTCTCTACCATTATGCTGTTTGATTCGTTTCGGTACATCATATTGAACAGGTAAGAAATGCGTCGTGATGGTGGTAGCACTACCATCATTGCCGGATTTGCTCAAATTTTCGATTTCTTCACGCATTAGTCTTCTTGAAATGCGCAAAACTTTCTCTCCTGCTAAGGGGTATGAACACGTTTTGCCTAATCTAACACAAGTGGAGCAGAATGGTTTTTCTTCGGGACATTTGATCTTTCGTCGTTTACACTCGCGACACCCTTGTCTTGAATATGGTCTTTTCTGCGCCTTTTGCTGATGCAGCTGAAAAGTATCATGTTGGTCATTTTGATGTTGGTTTTCCTGCTCAACTAGCAACGATACCGGCGGTCGTGACGATGGTGATTGCAAAGTCAGTATCGGAAACAGAGACATTTTTCTTGCAAACTCAAATAAAGTCTTTTCGGGCCTATTATCCCTTTTGGCAACGCTCCTTCTCCTGGATACAATTGATTTGATTTCAATCAATTGTACCCCCAGTTCTTGTATGACATTGAAAACCAAAAAAAAAAAAAAAATTAAATTAAATTCCGTGAGATGAGCCAATATAGCTAATAAAATGTCGCGATCGGAAATGTGAATTTGAGCTTGACGTCTAAATGTCGTTAAAACGACTTGTAATCAGATAAGGCTAAAACGGTTATATTTTTGACACGGCTAAATAAATTTGACAGAGAAGGAAGAAAAAGGGGTTCAACAGTGGAAAGTCTACATATTGTAGTAATTGAAAGAGTTCATATTGGAAGAGTTCATATTGCAACCTAAATCCAAGGTTAAGGTATTAGACACATTTTGAAAAATTATCTTCTTATTCGGTATTAGCATTAAAGAAACAATGTATAAACCACTATTGAGTTATAACATACTTGCCACATACACACGGGTTTTGATATTGATGCCACCTGCCACCACTAGCCACCACTAGCCATGGTCAACGAACAACGACTACCGCCTCCCGGGACGGGTCGGGCACTGCTAAGCTCCCGAGAAAAAAAGAATCTTACTTTGCATATCATATCTTTTTAAAAAAGCACCGCTTGCATAAAAAAATAAATAAAATAAAAAATAAAAACGTTAAACGTCAACCCCCATTTTTCATTCATTCAAAGTATTAGTTTTGGTTTTTGGATTTGAAAACCAAGAAAACATCTAGGTACAAAAGTTATCTAAATAGTTGAGCTCGAAATTTTACAGCTATGATCTCAATAAATCAGTTTTTGGAGATACTACGAATTTCAATTACTCATTTATTTCAACAAATTCATTCGAGTATTCATTATACCATACCTAAATTTCAATTGAGAATTGATAGCATGAGCAGTCAAAATAATAATTTGGAGGCAAACAATGGTATTACAAGATTATCACTACTTGACCCGTCACTGTCATTGACTTCAACTTTGCTCCTGAATCCAACTGGCTCTAGGATGCCAATTAATGAGCCATTGCCCAATTTCCTGTTTGACCCGACACAAGATGAAAATTTGGCCAATGTTTCCATCTTCATACTCATTATATCAATGCTCATATATGGTGTATACTCAATTTTTTATCTGATGACAATAAAAAGAGACAAAGCCACCAAGAAAATTACTGTTGAAGAACTTGTTGCCAACGATTCGATTTCTCCTTTACCTTCTGCATCGCATTCAGAGTCACCTTTGGGATCACCACTACGACCTTCCACACCAATATCACTATTTCGTACATCCCACTGTTTCTTTAACACTCTTCCTTTAGTCTCATCTTCCTCCTCATCTTCTTCTTCACCATTATCGCCAGCAACACATTTCCGCCCCATACTACCCCCTTCACTTTCTTCCACAAGTAGTAGACCTTCAGGATCTCCAACAACAAGTAGTGGCAGCACACATTCAACTTCATTCAATACATATACTGAGTCGACATCAAATTTCAATTTCGGTTTCGATATAGTTGGCAACACGGCGGCGGAACGGTTAATGAATTTGAGTAAAAGTTTGTCATATAAGCATGGAAATCTACATTATATCAGCGATGAGCATACCATCGAAGAGGATGAAGAAAATGAAGTGAACGAAGTAGATGAAATGGATCCAGTCAAAAACTCAATCAAAGGAGATGATGGTGATGATGATGATGATGACAACAAGAAACATGAGACAAGTCACACTCATGAAGTTGGCTCAGATTCAGAAACATGGGACGAGTCAAACATTGCTCAAGAAGAAGACGATTTACTAATCCCGTTGAAGAACAATTTTACACCATTAGTTGAGAAACTGACATGCGGACTCATCAAGACTGATTTTATGTCTTTACCTCATGATGATGATGATGATGATGATGATGACAACAAGAAACATGAGACAAGTCACACTCATGAAGTTGGCTCAAATTCAGAAACATGGGACGAGTCAAACATTGCTCAAGAAGAAGACAATTTACTAACTCCTGTAAACGACAATTTACTAACCCCTGTAAACAACAATTTACTAACCCCGTTGAAGAACGATTTTACACCATTAGTTGAGAAACTGACATGCGGACTCATCAAGACTGATTTTATGTCTTTACCTCATGATGATGATTCGGTGATCAAACTGGGGTCACTAACAGCAGTTAGTGAAAACCAAAATGATGATGGCTTGCATATGTTGAAAAAACAGTTTGAAACAGAGGGTAATTTGGGAAGAAAAAGACAAGATTATCGAATAACTCAGCCTGTTTATACTGAATATTAAGTTGATTTTGTTTCAAGGAGATGAACATTGAATCTCTATATGTTACGTTTTGACCTCTACATCTCAACATCTACATCTCAACATCTACATCTCAACATCTACATCTCTACATCTCAACATCTACATCTCAACATCTACATCTCAACATCTACATCTCAACATCTACATCTCAACATCTACATCTCAACATCTACATCTCAACATCTACATCTCAACATCTACATCTCAACAGAGTTCTTTGTAATAAAAGTTAGCTTTGAGAAGCACTGACTACACTGACTACACTGACTACACTGACTACACTGACTACACTGACTACACTGACTACACTGACTACACTGACTACACTGACTAGAGATGTAGAGATGTTGAAATGTAGAGATTTTGAGAAGTGAGTACATTGTGACAAGCCTTACATTGATTACTCTAACTTTACAAATAACAATCAACAGTTCTCTACCCCCCCTTAGTATAGCTCCGTAGTACGGCCCCTTAAGTATCGTTCCTCCCCCCTAAAGTGTCACTCGCTCTATACAGTACACCGGCTCTATGGAATTTTTTTTTTTTTTTTTACAATTTTTCACCATGCGATGAGCATCGCATCGCATTGATTCCCTAGATTCGAAACCCACTTGTTTCTCCACACACTCCATTCTTTACAGTCTATACAGTCTCTATAGTCTATAGTACAGACCGATGCCTAAATCAAAAAGATCAAAATTAGTGACCCTTTCGCAAACGGACAAAAAAGGAAAAGAGTCCAAGCATAAACTTTTTGATGAGGTTCGTTCTGCATTGGACAAATACCAATATTTTTGGGTATTAAAAATGAATGATATAAGAACACCAGTATTACAAGACATTCGATCCGATTGGGGCCAAGAATCCAAACTCATACTAGGCAAGAAGAAAGTGATTCAAAAAGCTCTCGGCGAAACCCCTGAGGAAGAGTATCAACAAAACTCATCGGAAATAGTTAGATTTTTACAAAAATTACCAGGATTAACACCTGGATTACTTTTCACAGATGAATCCCCAGATACTGTTAAAGAGTATTTCAAAGCATACACTAAGAAGGATTTTTCTCGAGTAAATACAAAGTCCCCTATCAGGTTTGAGATCCCTGAAGGTATAGTATATTCTCGCGGTGGCCAGATTCCAGAAGAGGAAGATGTAGTAATGTCTCATTCATTAGAAGAAACATTGCGTAATAAATACAAGATCCCAACAAAGATCAAGTCTGGGAAAATCATATTGGAAAAACCATATTTGGTATGTGATAAAGGTGATGTTTTGGATGTTCGACAAGCTTTAATTTTGAAACAATTTGGTGTCGCCTTGAGTGAGTTCAAAGTTCCTTTGCTTGCATATTATGACAAAAGTTCAGGAGCCGCTGAAGCATTGAATGTTGAGACTACTGAGTAAGAGCAGTTTATACATCTAATGGTGTACTTTTTATAATACTACAAAGCTATTTAACTAAACCCATGTGTTTGAAAGAAATCCCCTTAGTTCTCTTTGGGGACGTCCTCATCTTCAATGGCATCTTCTAGTGCATTCGTTTGAGGAGGTCCACCAGATGTATTGCTATTACCTTCTTCTTCTTCTTCTTCTTCATCATCATCATCCTCAATAGCATCATCATTATGTACTAGTGTCTGTGATGGAGTCGCACTATCAATAATATCCTCCAGTACCTTCTCGATTTCTTTCTCTTGCCCCCCAAAATCTTCTTCGAGTTCGTGAATTTCGGCAATTCTAATCTGTACGAAAAATAACTTAGCGTCTCCTTTGCCCAAATTCCTGAACCCATACTCGTTACCTGAAGGAACCCTAAATATACAGCCTCTAGTAGCAACAAACACCTGATCATTCAAGGTAACTTCAACGATGCCCGATACGATATTGAAAATATAATTACAGGTCAACATCGATACTGGCTGTTTCTCCCCTGCCTCAGGGAGTTCCAACATGGCAATTGAACACAAGTCTTGATTTTCATTGAATAATACTGAAACTTTATAATCAATCGAGTCCACGATTCCATTTGTTATATCTATGTATTCTCCGCCATTTTGATTATATGCTACTGGTTGTTCCACATATTGGCCATTTTCAATAACGTTTAGCTTCAATACCAGATCTTTAATCCACTCGCTCCCCGGTATTGTTCCTGGCTCTACATTCTCCAGCTCATCTTCTGATGATTTAGGTGATAACGGTACTGTAATTGGTGGCTGTTTCTTCCGAGCATTTTTTCTCCTACCCCTTTTACCCCTAGTAGTATTCCAATTCTCATTATCAGGAACATGAACTACTTCTTTTATCTGTCTTAATGGCAATTTGTAAATATCTCGAACTAAAGTAGTATCAGGATCGTCTTCTTCATCTCCAAGTTGACTTGCTTTGGAATAAACAATCCTTTCATTTCTCCAGTATGCTAATGGTTTGATCTTGATTCGTTTTGATCTCCTTAATCCAGAAGGCGGAGGTGATGGTAATTGCTGCGACTCGGTGTATTCTGAAGTATAAGATGATGAAGGTATTGAATAATCATTTCTGGCCCTTTTGCCTTTTCTTCCTCTATGTGGTTCTGATTCTGGTGATTCGAAAGTGATATCTCGGGTGTCAGATACGTCACTAGATAGTTCGTTTCTAAATGTGTCTCCCTCTTCTTCTTCTTCTTCTTCCTCCTCCTCCTCATTATCGTCATCGGCAGCGGCGCCATCAAAAAACATAGAAACGGATCCTTCTGTATCATCTAATTCTTCGCTTGACGCTCGCCTTCGTTTACTTTTCTTTGTTTCTGGACTTGCGATTCTCTTTGCTTCAAAGGGAAGCGATGGTTCTGGCGACTCCAGTTCTTGTAAAGATGGTTCCAATAGAGCAGGACCATGCTCTTGGGAACCGATGTACTCATCCCGCGTGTAACTGCCATCGTCAAATGCATCATTTTCAAAGTGACCAAAATCCTCGTCTCCTCCACCACCTCCAAAATCATGATCATCTTGCAGCAATTGATGATCAAAATTATAGTGTTTCTGCTGTTCAGGCAATGGTGATTTCAAAGGGGATGGTTTATTATTAGTGAGTGTTGATGACTTGACACTGCTCATTGCAGCAAGTTGAGGATCTATATTATCGCGTGCTCTATTGCCTTCATTATCAAAATCAATCTTCCTCGCCACATAATTGAAAGACGCTCTATTCCTCAACCTATGACCACGAACACCAAGATTATCATCATCATCATCATCATCATCATCATTATTATTATTATTATTATTATTATTATCATTATCGATATACTGCGGCGATATGCTTAGACGGCCTCTTTCCCTATCTCTATTTGCTGGCAACGGTATGGGAGACGCGGGATACCGTATATTCATAAAGTCGTTCGGTTCATTCCCAAAATCCTGATAGGTTTCAAAATCGTGAATATCCGTCAGCTCCGCAAAATCAGGGTTACCCATTGTGGATTCGCCGTTATCTTTTCTCAAACCTCCCTCTTCTTGCAATATGATCCGATCCTGAGTCGTCTCCATAAAAAAATCGTCCACATCCTCCAAACCATATTCATCTCTCTTGATATTTTTCCTTACACTTAGATGCTTCTTGCGCGATCGTTGGCCAAGTAGTAGAAGATCCATTTTTTTCAAGTAAAAAACAGATACCCTAGATATTCTCTAATCTCTCCAACCGTTCTCTTTAGCTAGCTTCTGTCACAAAAGTCTAAAACTCGCTTCTTATTGGTTAGTTTGGCCGCCTAATTGGTTACCAGGTTTAATTTAGTTGGGTTTTTTTTCTGTATGTTTTCGTGAGTGTTGATGTTTTTGTTTTGGTTTTGGTTTTACCACGAAAAATGGATGAGCTTGACCGCGCTTAGCCGTGCCATGGCGCGCCATTGGGCGCCATTGCCTGCCATCTAGGGCGCCATCTAGGGCGCCACCACGAGCGAACGCTCGTGGTAAGGAGCCAGCGTGAAGATGGCGCTGGTGCAGAGATGGAAAGGCTCTTGTAAGAGAAACTATTTCATGACTGTAGTTTGAGCCTATAAGAGGCAACTTGCAATAAGAGGCAACTTGCAATAAGAGGCAACTTGCTATAAGAGGCAACTTGCTCAGCAATAAGAGGCAACTTGCTCAGCAATAAGAGGCAACTTGCTCAGCAATAAGAGGCAACTTGCTCAGCAATAAGAGGCAACTTGCTCAGCAATAAGAGGCAATTTGGTTTTCCAAGACTAACAAATTAATCACTCTGCTTGTATATGTTTCTTATTTCGTATTGTAGAAATTGCACCCAAGTTAGTGTTGTGACAAGCTACTGAGTGTTGCTCGATAGTAGAGCAACACTATCGAGCAGAGCGAGATAGTGTTGTAACAAGCTACAAAGGGTTGCTCTACTATTGAGCAGAGCGATACTATCGAGCAGAGCGAGATAGTGTTGTAACAAGCCACTGACTAATGACACCATCTCTCTCTGGTCGATAATGTCGCTGTAACAAGCTACAAAGGGTTGCTCCACCATCTCGCTCTGCTCGATAGTGTCGCTCGATAGTGTCGCTCGATAGTGTCGCTCGATAGTGTCGCTCGATAGTGTCGCTCGATAGTGTTGCTCGATAGTGTTGCTCGATAGTGTTGCTCGATAGTGTTGCTCGATAGTGTTGCTCGATAGTCTACATCACTTTATCAAAGTCCAATTTTTTTTCCTTTTTTATTATTGTATAAATCTACTACTCTATCTATACAAGTTTATTCTACTTTTTTCAACACCAACGCGGTTCTGCTGGGTATATAAACCATCAACGAGTTGGCACGGTTGTTCCATCCATCATTGTTTGTAAAAAACTTTTGCTTTTCTCCATTCTTTGAATCTTCAATTCTTCCATGTCCACCAAATTTCTCGTCATCAGTATTCAAGATGATTTCATATGTACCTGGGACATCAACACCAACCTTGTAGTCAGGAAATGATTGCGTAGGGTTGAAGTTGAAGATAAACAAAAGTCCATTTCTCTCAAAAACTAAAACCTTGTCCAGCTCATGCTTCAATGAAACATAAGCTTGTGGTGAGTCCAATACGTCCAAATGTTGCATTGCCGAGTCAAATTCAAACAAATACTTGTATCTCAACAAATCATCCTCAATGAGATTAAATTGTCTTCTTGCATAGTGATAAGATTCCTTGTTTCCAACACGAGGAAAGTCCAACCATTCGGGGTGTCCAAATTCGTTCCCTTCGAAATTCAAGTATCCTTCACCGCCCAATGCAAAAGTAATCAATCTGATCATTTTATGCAATGCCATTCCACGATCAATAATTGGTGTCAATTCGGACAATTTCGACATGTGTGTATACATCTCTTTATCCATAAGCCAAAATGCCAACGTCTTATCACCTACCAAAGCCTGGTCGTGAGATTCACAATAACTTATACATTTCTCACCATGACGACGATTGGTCAATGTGTGTACTATATTACCCAAATCCCATTGTTCATCTTGTAAATGTTTCAAAATCTTTATCCACATATCGGGGATCGCCATTGATAATCTATAATCAAATCCAATACCTCCATCACTAATAGGACAGCACAATGTTGGCATACCTGAAACATCCTCAGCAATAGTTGTAATTTCTATACTTTGTTGCTGAGATATATCGTCCATTAGTTTATTTGCCAACATGAGATAGACAATAGCTTCATTGTCAACCCAATCTTCATTAAAGTATTCATTATAGTCACCACTAAAGCCAAATCCCAATCCATGATGCTTGTACAACATCGAAGTAACACCATCGAACCTAAATCCATCAAATTGATAAACATCGATAAAAAATCTCAAGTTTGATAAAAGAAACCTTAATGTTTCATAGCAATTATAATTGAATAATCTAGAGTCCCACAACTCATGTTGTCCCTTGGCACCACCATGGAAAAGGTAATGGTCAGTTCCATTAAACATGTTTAATCCATCTTCAACATTTTTCGAACTATGCGAGTGAACAACATCCAAAAGCACACGTATTCCATACCCGTGAGCGGTATCAATCAACTCTTTCAACTCCTCAGGAGTTCCAAACCTTGAACTAATTGCAAAAAAACTAGTAACTTGATATCCAAAGGATGCATAATAAGCGTGCTCCATAACCGCCATCAATTGAATAGTATTGTACCCCAACTTATGAATCATGGGTAATACCTTGGTTGTGAAATTCTTATAAGTGCCAATCTTGGGTTCGGGTGTTGATATTCCTACATGTGCTTCATATACTTTAATACCTTGCGATAATCTCGGTCTTTTATTTTTGAACTGGTAAACTTCATTCTTGGGTGGATTCCAGAATCTGCCCTCGTACAAGTTGGTTTCCTTGTTATAGGTAGCCCTCTTGACCCATGGGTCTAATCTGTATATCCATTCTCCCGTAGGTAACTTCATAGCAATCTTATACTTTGAATTGTGAGGAATAACACCTTCACCGTCAATTTTCAAGTGCCACTTGCCAAAAGAGTCCATTTTAGTCAATGCGTGAGTCTCCAAGTTCCAGTTATTGAACTCTCCAACAAGACTCACCTGTTCGACATTTGGAATATACTCTAATATCTCAACTCCGTTATCAATAGCATGCAAACCATATGACTTGTAAGACTCGGCAAAATTCAACAACGACCCTTCACTAGCGTCCAACTTGGTGTCCCACTCTTTCAATTGCAATTGTCGCTTAATCAACAGTTGTGAAAACGGCTCTAACCAGGGATCTAACCCAACAACCCCCTTAATCAACTTTGCATTCTCGTTATCACAATGAGACATTTTTTTTTTTTCAACAATACAGTACAAAAACCAAACAAAACAACAAACCTAGATAGTGTTTCAGTATTTCAATTGGTATAACTTTGCAAATCTCTACTATTAAGAACTCACCTCACAAAAAGATCCTAAGAACAACTTTAATTTATACAAGAATAAAAAGAGTTGGGGGATTTATAATTGGCTCGTTTTTATACTTGTATTAATTTATACGGTGGAAAGAATGTCGCGGAGTTGCAATCAAAAAAAAGTGCAACCTTGATACATTTGGTAGCGAGAAAACATGAGACAAAGTGAAGGAGAGATAAAGATGGAGATAAAGATGGAGATAAAGATGGAGATAAAGATGGAGAGAGAGGTGGAGGTGGAGATGGAGATGGGGGTGGAGGTGGAGGTGGAGGTGGAGGTAGAGTGTGAGACAGAGATAGAGGTATTAAAAGGCGAGCTATTAGTCTAGAGTAAATCATTTTCAAGATATTATTTATGGTAAAATTATTTTACTGGTTAATTTCACTAGATAATTTCACTTTGATCTTGTGTAGTCTTTATAATTGGCCCAGAAATAGAACGGAGGATTGTTGACCGGTCTTCTCCGGATTTTGAGGGGATCTAGTTTCCCCACCGTCACTATCGACCGACACTATCGACCAACACTATCGACCGACACTATCGACCAACACTATCGACCGACACTATCGAGCAGAGCAAGATAGTGGAGCACACTAGCTGTCACTGATAGTGGAGCACACTAGCTGTCACTGATAGTGGAGCACACTAGCTGTCACTGATAGTGGAGCACACTAGCTGTCACTGATAGTGGAGCACACTAGCTGTCACCGACACCTCCTCTCCTCCTCATCCCTCTCCTCCTCCTCCCTCTCCTCCCTCTCCTTAACTCACAATGGAGACTGTGCTTGTTGAAATGGAACCAGTACCATGAAACATGTACACCTTTCCCCCCCCCCTCACCCTTTGCCCTTTTCCCACTATACCCTATTTTTCTATGCTCTACTGCAAGCGTACTTTTCCTGGTTATACTCATCACCGAAACCTTTGATTTAATATCCTCTCCGAGCCCTCCATTTCATATTCCCTTTGACTAACCCACATTTGATGAAATGTACCCAAACTAGCCAAAACACTAGCACCTATCCAACTTTGGTTAATTCTCTCCATTGAATTTCCAGTGGCATGTAATCTAATCTTTAGTCCCGGATTCAACTGCGATAATTCGTGATATAATCTTTCGGTCAACTGGACAATAAGTGAACTACCACCAGTAACTATAATATTATTAGCTAGCCCTGCTCTCAAATCAATATCGATAATGGAAATTACATGAGTTATCAATTGCGTAAGACCACGCACTATTTCCTTTTTATTTACCACATCGTTTTCCTCATCCTCGCTTCGACGTATCCTTTTGACTGGTCGGTACTCGCTTATTGTATTATGTTCTATCCCTGGTATTTCTCCATTACACGCTGGAGGCTGCAACTCGGACTGATTAAATTTATATAAAAGTGGATCAAATATAGTTTCAGCCATGAGAAATCGTTCTTGACCTAGTGTTATCGATTGACCTGTCGGTAACTCAAAGGTTCTTTTGGAAAACAATGGAGAATCAGAATCATCATCACTACAGTCTCTTCCTCCCCCTCCCCCTCCCCCTGCTCCTGCTCCTGCTCCTCTTCCTTTTCCTAATGATGATTTCTTTTTCATCTCTTGAGTAGGTACTTCCAACATTGTTTCCTTAAACTCGTGCCATATTTTATCCTCCTCATATAGTCTAAACAGATCAGTTACTATAACATCCTCGCCCAATTTCTTCAATTCAAACACAGCCTTTTCTTGAGGATACTTGGTTGGTTCTTTATTCTTTATCAATATACTTGGCTCAATAACTAGTCTATTTTCTTCCTCTTCTCCTTCTCCATTGCTACTGGTTTTCTTCTTTCCTTGTAAGAAATCTTTCACAATATTGTTAAGAAACTTTCCTGAATACGGCGTCCTTACTGAACTTTTGATCAAACAGATCCCGTCAACAACAGGACTCACGCTAATTGAATCATGGCCCAAGTCAACAACTAAACAATTGGGTCTTCCTTGTTGGAAACTAATACAACTAGGCACTTTCACCAAATACAATCCGGGAAACTCATATCTCTTATACACTTGCTCAATTAACCTAGTACGGTACTCATTTGTACTCCAAATAGGCTCAGTGATTAAAATCGGTTGGTCTTTTTCAACAATCTTTAATTGTTTGAAATAGTAAGAGAACATTTCAAAGGCTGCTTCCCAATCAACAATCAATGAATTCTCAACAATCCGTTTCACTTCAGTGCCCTTTTGACGCAAAACATCAATACTTTCTCCAAATATTCTTGTTCCATCGGATAATTGTCCATAGCTTGAAGCAGTGATGATCTTGGGGAAATCGTCTCCTGCATATCCTATCCGTGTATTCAACGAGCCAATGTCCAATATAATGGCATTGATTTCGTCTCCTCCATAGACAGTATTGGCATTGGTAGTAGACATGACACTCTACTTCTGAAATGATCAACAACTCTTATTGATTGGCTCTTGCCTTTTGATATTTGGAAAAAAAAAAAAAAAAAAAAAAAAAATTTCAATCTTAAGCGCCAGCTTTGCCAGCTGTGCAATACAACAAGAGAATAGCAAGAGAATGGCTTGAAAACAGCTCGAGAACAGCTCGAGAACAGCTTGAGAAAACAGCTTGTTCTTCTCTTTGAGAGGAAGAGAATTGCTAGAGAAAAACTCTAATTTGTCTCTTTAATGAGTCTTTGACTTAATGTCTTGGACAACTATATAGACAAATGATGCAATAGACGGTAGCAGTCAATGCTCCACTATCTCGCTTCGCTCGATAGTGTCATAAAGGGTCTAATGAACACCCATGTGGGTAACTACATGGGCTCTATTGTTTCTTGTTACCCCCTCATGATCAAACGATCAATCATCAACAAATCGTCATCGATGGATTCTTTGTAATTTTCATAGATTTTCTCATCTTCATTTTCACATCCTTGAGACGTTTCATCAAAGAGTGTGAAATCCAAATCTCTTTGTCTCGGTAAATTATACTTTATTGGTAGGGGATACAGATGAAACTGAAAAGGTAAACTAGACCCTTTGCGGTTATTGTTCTCGTCCAATATCATAATCTCCTCTTCCTCGTCATCTTCTTCCAATAAGGCTAAATCAATGCAGTCGTAATTTCGTTTCAGATAGATACTAGATAAATTAGGGAACTCCAAGTATTGGAATGAGCAATCATTCCTATCTCTAGTATGCGAATTGAACATCTGAGTACCCGTATGGGAGTTAAACCCATGAGTACCCCCTGTATGCGAATTGAACATCTGAGTACCTCCCGTATGCGAATTGAACATCTGAGTACCTCCCGTATGCGAATTCAACATCTGAGTACCTACCGTATGCGAACCATACCCATTTATGTTTGTGTTTAGGTATGGTTGAAAAATGCTCCTTCTGGGCAACTTCTTAGGTCGATTGCGTAACGGTTGTGGCTTATGTAGTGTTTCTTCTTTCTGTTGTTGTAGTGGGGGTGGCGAAGAAGCAACAGTAGAGCTCATGCTCCTTTCGCCACAGCTATTGCGGTTATTGTTATTAAATTCTTCTTCATCTGTAAACATTTTCTCGATATCTTTTATTGAGGTTGAAAAGATCTCATGCTCTAATTTATGTCGTTTTGATAAGGAGAATCTGGTATTGTATGTCGATGTGGATGTGGATGTGGATAACGAACAAGGCCGTTTCATGAATAAAGCGAGAGTAAAGAGTATGTGATGCGATTATAAAATAGAATAAGGTAAAAGTAATGGGTCCTATAGGTAGTGGCTCTATAAGTAGTGGCTCTATACGTAGTGGCTCTATACTTGATGGCTCTATACGTAATGGGCTCTAGGTTTCTGGGTTCTGGTATTTGGGATCTGGTGTGTGGGCTCTATATGCCCTTTAAATGCTCCTTATATCTACTAATTAGATCTTCTATGACCAATACTAGTCGTCCTTCTTAAAAAAAAAAGGAATCCTCTACTTTATAAACTACTACTACTATAAAAATAAGAAAAAACTAAGCCGTTACGATAGAGCCATAACCGATTAGCCAAACCCGTAATCCGTGTATGTGTGTGTAATGAAATTTTCAACAAGACAAGTAAGTAGAAAACGGAAAAGCAAATGTCACATTAAAACTAACCGCCGCTTGGAAAAGAAAAAAATATCGCCTTACAAAAAGCCTCCTCTCCCACCCCCCTTCCCCCCACACATACCGCTCATTAAAAAGAGAGGAGAGAGTATAAGAAGAAAAAAGAAAAAAGAAAAAAAGAAGGGAGGCCTTAGTTTGCTCAAGGATACCTCACATTTATGCATAAAATGTGTCACCATTTAGTTAACTTATATCGTGTTTTAGCTTTGAATTTTGCTTTACTTTACTTTACTTTACTTTGCTTTGCCTTAGTATTTTTTTTTTTCTTTTCTTTTTCATGGCTTCCTTCTTCCGTTCCGTCCCCGCGGCAGCTATGGTAAATGGAATCAGTTTTTTTTTCCAAGCAAATCTTGAAAAATTTAAAATCAGATGATTTGTATATCGAAGGAAGGTTACATTATAATTGTCTACAGTTGATTATAATTGTCTACAGTTTATATATCTATCTATCTCTTTTCAAAACTCTCGGTGAAAAACATACTCACCTTTTATTGGCCCATTAGCCATCTTTTTTTCAAAAAAAAAAAAGCCTTTCCTTAAATGATAATGCCACATAATCCTCACCATCATAATCATCATCATCATCATCATCATCATCTATTTTATTTGGTGCTACCAAGTGTTGGGTTTTCGATAAGATAAGGAAAACAATAACTTACTCTATTAGGCTATTACGTGTTAGCCATGGAGGGAGGTTTTGTTGTTCACGATTGGCTAGAGAAAACAAAAACAAAAACAAAAACAAAACCAAAATCAAAACCAAAACCAAAACCAAAAGCCTCTTATCAAATTTGCAAAACGCACATGATCTTTACAAGTTTGTTTTCATTAACACACATGATCTCTACAAGTTTGTTTTTATTTTCTCTACTACTGAGTAAAGTATTTGCTACACGTGCAAGCAACAATTTATTGCCGTTGATTGGTTTGGCTAAAGTCATAAAAAAGAAAGAGCCATTAAAAAGAGCCACTAAAAGAGCCACTAAAAAGAAAAAGCCATAATGAAAAATTATAAAGCAAAACTCTTTTATTTTCAATTTGCGGAAAATTTTACTTGTATTACTCTAATTTATTATCCTTCCAAAGTAACCTATTCTTTTCCCACTTTCACTTCTCCTCTCTCAAAAACTAACTTGCTTGACATTTTGAGATAAGGAAATATTATTGGCGTTAGTAATCACGGTGATACCGAAACTTTTCTTTTTTCTTTTTCTTTTTTGGCCTTCCCATTTTGGCCTTCCCATTTTGGCCTTCCTATTTTGGCCTTTTCTTTTTCTTTACTATCAAAAGCCTTTTGATAAGAGAGAATGGATCGATGTATTCTAGTATTAGCGATGGATTGGCAATGTATTATATTTTTACGCAAGAGATTAGGTGATAAGAGATTGACTGATAGGAGATTAGGTGATGTTGACTATGTACCCGTGGCTATAGCATAAAAGGGCTGTATTTTAACTAAAGCGAGTAAAAGATAGAAACCAGTCGATATACGGTTTATTGACTCAATGTTTATAGATTCATAGTGTCAACTCTTCTCCTTGAGCTCTCTATAAATATTCAATCAACAGTCACGTGAACAAATTATCTATTTTTGGTGGGTTTTATCAAAACTATTGTTCACGTGACTAGATTTTAGTTTACGTTTAGATTTTTCGTTACTCGTCTAGAATTTGCTACTAGACGTTAACTAACTACCCTACATGTCAACTTTTAACCATTGTTATCTACAAGGATACTAAATTTTAGTTAGTTTTAACAATACAACATATTTCTATCTATACGTCATCCTCCTCCTCTTCTTCCTCTTCCTCTTCCTCACTAGTATACCATTCCTTTGGTGGACACATTTTATCTACAATCAACATTTTGACATCATCAACCAAGTCACTCATAGTTTCATCAACAATATCATCATCACTCTCCTCCTCCTCCTCCTCCTCCTCCTCCTCCTCCTCCTCTTCTTCTTCTTCTTCTT